TCATGCACCCAACTTTAACCCAATTGCACTAATCCCCAAGGCCAAACTCCCGACTCCATCTTCGATCATCCGCCCAACCAAACCGCAAACCGTGCTCCACTTCTCGGAAATTAGAAGGACAGCGATTGGATTTGGACGCAAGACAAGAGCACTTTGCCGCTGCTCTTGTCGCTGGAGTGAAGTCGTGAAGGCTGGAGCCTAGAAAGAGGAAGACTGGACCGGACGAATAAGGACTGAGCCAGACAACCAGTGACTCAGTGAGCGTTGACCTCTGCGGCTCTACCACCAAGTGCCTGCCGCTAGGCCGCCACTGCCCCACCGCAACCCGCATCCCTTCCGGTCAGTCCATTGATTTTCAATTTTTCTGATTCATTTAGTTGCTAATTTTTGGGAATTTTCGAATTATTGAATTGTTTGTTGAATTGTTGAATTGTTGAATTATTGTAATTTGTTTATTTTCTGTTTTTCTGATTCCATGTTTGTTGAATTGTTGCATTGTTGTTATTTGTTGTTTTTTGCAGTTAAACCAAACCATTAATTGAATTGATAACAAATGTGTAAATGTATTTAGCAATTATAATTTAAGGAAGTGGTATAAAATATTATTAGGTAACTTCAGATAAATTATAATTATATTACTATACTAGTATAGACATATAGTCTTTCATGTTTACACCCTAATTGTAAACTGAATATTAATTTAAAATTTATAAACATGTACAGGATTAGAGGAGAATTTCAATAAGTGGTAATAATTATGTTTCCATATAAATACCAATCCGGTCATGAGAAGCGTCAAAGGAAAAGAAGACTTGACGAGTTAACACAGTCTCAAAAAGGAGCTCTTGATAAGTTCTTTGTTAAAGAAGTTAGAGATGTTCAAGAGGGTGAACAACAAGATGTGAATGTTGAAAATAATGTTGAAATACATGATCAGTGTGTTAACGACATGGCTGAAAATCGAGATAAAGAGGACCACAGAATCGATCTTTTAGATGATAGGCCAAATAATTCTGTTTTATTTGACATACATGATCCAAGAAATTGTGATGCTCTAGATTCAAAGTTGATAGACATTTTGGTAGAGAATGGTCCAAAAAGAGATTTAAATTTTGTGGAAGGGCCTAAAGATAAATTCTCTAGAAGATTCTTAGCGGCATTTTACACTAGAAGTTTGCCTAATTGAGAGAAATGTGATAGAGACTAGCTTGTTTATTCAAAGGAGCTTGATAGGGTATTTTACTTTTGTTGTAAGATTTTTAGAAAAGGTGTAGGCAAATGTTCTTTAGCCAACACGGGTTTTGATGATTGAGGACATCTTAGTGCTAGACTAAGAGAACATGAAACAGGCCAGATGTGGAGCATATGGGTAACATGAGGAGCTGGGTATAATTGAGGCTTCGAATAAAAAAATGAGACAATTGATAAATTAGCTCATGATCAACTTTTGAAAGAAAAAGAGTTTTGGAGACAATTATTGTTTAGGGTGATTGCAACTATGAAATATCTTTCTAAGCATAATTTGGCCTTTCGTGGAACGAATGAGCGGCTCCATCAGAATCATAATTGGAATTTTTTAGGATTAATTGAGATGTTGGGTGAATTTGATCCTATTATTCAAGAGCTTATTCGTCGTATCGACAATAAGCTAAGGATACTCATCACCATTATCTTAGTCATAAGATTCAGAATGAATTGATAGAGATTTTTGCTTCAGGAGTGAAATCTAAGATCATTAAAAGAATCAAAGAAGCAAAATATTTTTATGTGATACTAGATTGTACTCCTGATTCGAGTCACCAAGAACAAATGACTTTGATATTAAGATGTGTTGATATCTCCTCTTATCCGGTTAAAATAGAAGAATTTTTCTTGGAATTCTTGGTTGTGAATAACACGACAGGTCTTGGCCTTTTTGAAGTGTTGCAAAGTGTGTTGAAGTCTCTTGATCTTGACATTGATAATGTTAGAGGGAAAGAATATGATAATGGATCAAACATGAGAGGTATGCATCAAGGTGTGCACAAAAGACTCTTGGATATAAATCCTAGAGCATTCTATACTCCTTGCAGTAGTCATAACCTTAATTTGACTTTGTGTGACATTGTTAATTGTTCTCGAAAAGCAAGAGATTTTTTTGTAGTGCAACGAATATACACCCTCTTTGCTAATTCTACAAAAAGGTGGCAAATTTAAAAAAAAACATGTCAAAGAACTCGGTGGGAAAGTCGTGTGGAAAGTGTCAAAGCAATAAGATTTCAAATCACTGACATTCGGGAAGCATTGCTAGAATTGGCCTAGACAGACAATGATTCTAAAATACAAAGTGAAGCTAGATCCTTAGCTACAAATGATCTTTGTAATTTTGAGTTGTGGCTTGCTACAGTTATTTGGTATGAAATATTATATGCTATTAATTTGATGAGCTAAAGTCTACACGAAAAGGATATGCTTCTTGATGTTGCTATTGTTGAAGTGAAAGGGTTAATTTCTTTTTTTGAGAAGTATAGAGAAAGTGGTGTTTCTAGTGCTATGGATGTGGCTAAAGAAATAGCCAGAGAATTGAAAGTTGAACCAATGTTTCCTCAGAAGTGTGTAATCCATAAAAAAACAATTTGATGAGAGTGTTGGTGAATCTTCTGTATCGTCCACATCAACACCAGAAGAGTTGATCAGAGTGGAATACTTTGTCTACATAGTTGATCAGTCTATTGGCTCATTGACACAGAGATTTGAGCAATACAAAGTATATGAAAATATGTTTGGGTTCTTGTTCAATTTTGAGAAGTTACAATCTCTTACTGATTCAGACTTGGAGTCATGTTGCACTCATTTACAAACAGTACTGTAGAGGGATGGGCAATGCAGCGATGTTGATGGTAACGATTTGTATATTGAGCTGAAGTTGCTTAGAGAGATTTTGCCAAAAGAAAAGATGGGGGCAACAAGAATTTTGAATTCTTTAAAAGAAATGAATTGTTTTCCAAATGCTTTTATTGCGTACATGGTTTTGCTAACCATTCCAATTACCGTCGCCTGAGCAGAACGAAGTTTTTCCAAGTTGAAGTTGTTGAAGTCCTACTTGCGATCAACTATGTCACAAGAGAGATTCAATGGATTGACAGATATCCATAGAATATGAAACACTCGAAGAGATTGATATTTCAAGTTTGGTAGATAACTTTGCATCTAAATTTGCTCGAAGAATGTCTCTTTTTAAATAAAATGTAAGTTATTAACGACTTTTTTTTTTATTTTTATCATTACGTTTATTAGTAACTTGTATTTTAAGACTATTTGCTTGTGTTAGAACATAAAAAGGCCCAAATTTTATACGTAGTATGAAAGTTCAATTTTAATGTTATTATTATTAACAAAGTCGAGCATGTTCGTTGGATCGGATAATTATAATTATCCAAAATGGGTGGATGGTTAGAAAATGATAATTGAACAACAACATTCCGAATCAATGTAATTTCTATCTTTAGTTTTAATTTCCCATTTTATATGTCTCCTTTAGTTTTGGCACAATTTTTAATAAAGTGGTTGATAAGGTAAAAGTTGTGGTTGAGATTTGAGTATAATAAAATGAAATGGTGTGAACCACATATTTCTTTCCAAAAAGAGAAATGTGACACTTATTTTGGGACAACTCAAAAAGGAAAGTAAGACAGGTAAGTGGGACATAGGAATATAAAGTTAGCTTTCCGTATAATTATATTTTAATTATTACTCCGTAATATAGAATATAGAGTTAGCTTTGCTATCAATTAATTGTATGTGAAATTGTGAATCAAGAACATTATCATGAACTCTATGTAACGCATTTATGTAAAATCTAGAAATAATAATAGTTTAAACCTTTGTTAGTAATATATATATACGATACGTGAATAATACAATAATACGTACGTTCGTGTATAATACGATACAATTATATAACATACGGCTTAGTATATGTTTCATACATTCGTGAAATATATAAAGATACGGACGCGTTTTAAACGTTTCACAATTTAAAAATACGGCATATAATATGTGTCTTACATACTTATTTAATGATAGAAATAAAGAGTTATTTAACATTTGCACCACAATCTTCAACAATTTAAAATGTACGGAATAGTTTTTTTTTTCCAGATTTACGGATTTAAATGCATAGGTACAATACGTAATAAAAATGACATTGCCTATTTAAGTAGAAGTGGAGAGATATTACTAAAAAATACAGTAGTGGTACAATAGAAATATCGAAACACATTACGAATTTAAGAAGCTAATTCATTAAATGTAATGACTGTTAAACAATTAGCGAACATATAACGCATAACGTTTTATAAGCAATATAAATAATATTGAGTAGCTTGACATTCATTTTGTTTCAGTTGTATCACTTCATTAGGCTTCCGTTTAATGGTGTGTGTTTTTTAATAAAATACGTATCAATACGTACAGTACGTGTATTATACATTTTATTCTTAAAGTACGTGAGTTTTTCAGAATTTTCGGAAAAATTCATAAACAGGAGTATTATACGTAATAAAATACGTATCAATACGTACGATACGTGTATTATACATTTTATCCTTAAAGTACGTGAATTTTTCAAAAAAATTTAAAAAATTCATAAACGGAAGTATTATACGTGAATTATACGTTCGAGTGTATTATACGCGAATTATACGCGAATAAACTAACAAGAGGTTTAAACATTCTCTAAAAAAAACAAATAGAGAACTTTGAAGGCTTATGGAAGGGCCACGCCTCATCACTCGCAGCTAGCATTTATTTATTTAATTTATTTATTTAAGAGAAAATGGATCGGAGTGCTAGCTGCATATACTCCATCCATCACTAGCTAAATCTCTCTATATACGAAGTATTAAGTATATAATAATAATTAATATTAATATGGAGTATGTGAGATGGAGTTTATGGCCTAATTAAACATGCATTGACCACGTGGACATAAGCACCCTCCATACATTATGTCATTATGTAGGATGCCAAAGTAACCATGCTAGGTGTGATCCCGAGCATTGTGAGAACATGGAAAACTACAAATTGTACATCTGGCTTTGATTGGTCAACCATTCGGTAGGTTTATGATTGTGGTTTTAGGTTTGACTTCTGTTCAAGCCACCACCTTATAAGTGCACCCAGCTATTTTTTCTTTTTAAATACCCATTCACATTTCCAACCTTCTCTTTCAATTTCTTGCCCAGTTAGTTAATGGCCTTACTTTGTTTCCATATGATTGGTAGTTGCTTTGGCTCCAGTGGTGAGGCATCCAGTGTGGACGAATACCTCTGGCTTATGGGAAGAGCTCGATATAAACCTGTGATAGAGTATTGTGGTGGTACGGAGATTGGTGGAGGATTTGTAACTGGTTCCTTGCTACAGGCTCAATCTTTGGCTGCATTTAGCACAGCAGCTATAGGCTGTAGCCTCTACATTATTGGCAAGGACGGATTTCCTATTGTAAGTATTTGCTGCTTAATTTTTTACATGACATCAGGTTTGTGCTAGCACTTACCCCTTATTTTCTTATTCGATTAATTTTTTTGAAGAAGTTATCGACCCACTTTTGCTTAGTGAAGGATTACGCACAATTGTATGCATGGCCACTTCATTTTAAATCTATGAAGCCGACGTCCTCGGGAAAGAGGACTTTTCCATTTCGGAAACTCTGAAAACTCTTTAGAAACTCATCAAACACTTGTACATTCCGCAAGTAAATTAGTTTGTTGTTATTCAACAACAATGCTAATTAAGTAGTAAAATTGAAAACATGCATTTCGTTTTTCATTAGTCCAAAAACTGAAAACGCTTATTTAAAGTTTAAACTTTAAAAGATCCGTCCTACCCCTTTTGTTTTTTACAAAAAATAAAAAACCGACACCTAACATGTCCCGAACTTGTGTTCCTCGTTCCCAACCATAATTCTTGTAGAGTATTTGTTTAGAACGGTAAAGAGGATTCTCGTTACACTCGTATAGTCGTATCACAAAAAGTCGACAAATAAATTTATGGATTGTCAAATTGGGTGAACTATATATGTTAGAAACTTAATTATAATTCAATTTTTTGTGTGAATACTGTTATTCCTAGACCATTTGAGTGATCATGACGGAACCTTGAATTGTTTCATGTTATCAAAACCAGTTTTGATATATATTGGCCAACTAATGTTTATTTCAGATTTTTCAGTCTATGCTGGACAAAATTGGAATTGTAAGTAAATGATCACACAATTGAGAGATAAATTCTAAATTGAACTAGTTCATTGATCTAATCTAATCAATGAATAATTTTTTCACATATAGTTGAACTTGAGGACCATTTAATCCAATTGATGACTTGGTAATCCAATTTCTAATCCATAATTTATTGTTTCATACTTGTATTTGACAAAAGCAAATTCTGAAAGTAAATCGCGAGGCATTCAAATTCAAGCGGGTTCAGATTTAAAAAATCAATAGAGTTCCCAATCAATTGATTCATGCTCAAATGGAATGGGCCAAGGCCCGCTGACAAATATTGAACATACTTCGAAGTACATAGAGCTTTTGGTGAGATCACCTAGGGATGGACCGGGACCGGGACCGGTCAGGTCTTGGGCGGGTCAAATGTTTTGGGCATTAGGCCCGGTACCAGCCCAGGTTGGTTCCGGGACTGGGCCCGGGTCAGGTCGGATCTTGTAATATTTTTTTTGGTTTTCCTTATTTGTTCCTACCCCCCCACCCCCAATCCCCAAACACCCCCAAACCACCCAGCCCAACCCGCCTACCACCCAATCCATTCGGGGAAAAAAAATTGGGCCCGAACCGGTCCCGGACCGGCCGATCCGGTTCCAATAGGGCTTAATCCCTTTATCCCCCCCCCCCCCCCCCCCGGTTCGGGCCCCAGGCCCGGTCCCGGTCAACCGGGCCGGGCTAGTCCATCCCTAAGACCACCCCATTATGCATTTATTTCTACAATTCTACGATTGTTTAACGTTGTCATGTCGAATAATTTCTGTCAGCGTGTAGCTCACATTTGTTCAATGGATACTTTTTGTTCAAAATCATAATGGATACAATAGACATGATAACCGTTTTTTAAGAAAGTTTTTATTAACTTAAATATATCATTAGTTTCTTAAGAAAGTTTTTATTATCATTAAACATATACTCTTCAATTGAAACGTGAAATAATATGGATAGTGAATAATGCAGAAATGGTGTAAAAATATGAGAGTGATGAAAAAACGAAAAATAAGAAAGAGAAAATGAGAAAAGGGTAAAACTTATAAAAATGAAAGTGGTAGGGGCATAGCTAGACCAAGTATTAGGATGCACTAGTAGAAAGGAAAAAACAAATACAATACTTTTTTACATAATTTTTTAACACATAGTGTGAAATAATGGGAAAGAGGTACTCCAATAGGAGTCCTGACAGATATATTTATAATAGAGGAGTTGCCAAAATACAAAGTATTCCTAAATAGATATTAGACAGATTCCTAAATATATTAGGCAGATTCTTAAATATATTACTCTATTACACCCTCTCAAACTGTGCGTGAGATACAACGCGCAGGTTGTCCTTTAAAAAATGAAATTGCAAACTAAAAAAACTCTTAGTAAATATATCCGTGAGCGGAAGATTAGAAGGCACATCTTTAATAATATGATCTCCATGAGAATATATGTCTGCAGCAGCAAGCGGCGAACTCAACAGCGCGCTTGAAGCAAGCACCGTGGTCAGCGACACAGAGAAGGTGGGCTGCGCGAACATAGGCAGTAGCAGGCGGCGAACTCAACAGCACGTTAGAAGCAAGCACCGTGTTCAGCGACGCGAAGGCGGTGATCTGTGCCATATTAGCCGCGCTCATCTTCAAAGGATCAGAGACTACCGTAAATGTGGCAGTAGTCGACCCCGAGGCGGCGGCGGCTATAATCAGGTTCATGGGAACCGAAAAAAAAAGAAAAAAATTGTATCTACAAACCTAGAACTCTTGATACCATGTGAAATAATGGGAAAGAGGTACTCCAATAGGAGTCCTGACAGATATATTTATAATAGAGGAGTTGCCAAAATACAAAGTATTCCTAAATAGATATTAGATAGATTCCTAAATATATTAGGCAGATTCCTAAATATATTAGTCTATTACACAGTAGATGATTTTCTCAAATTCAGAATGTGATGGATGTATGGAACCTAGTATGATCCCTTAGCTACACTAGATGAAGAAACTAAATTCATGTTCATCCAAAAGATAACAAGCACCCAAACTTTGTTATCTCAGTCAGAGAAAAATGATGTAATTACTATTTGGGGAACAACAAATTCCAGTTTTTTCTGACATTTGAATCTTGTTAAGTTGTTTTCTATTGTTACATAGCTTGGCCGAAATGCAGTATACCAACCTCTTTTCTAAACAAGGTGTGCGTCAACAACCAGAGAGATGAGATAGGAAAAAGTCAATTTCATCTAAATTCGTTTTCAAATATTGTCTTAAATAAAAGTAAAAAGAATGTGAAATTTCTAGTAGGAGTTCATCACAGTTAAATTTATGCCATTGTGAGTCTGTGACATGTCGGTTTTGAATCTAAGTCATTAGTAAATTTGAGAGATTTTTCTCAAATGATGAGGACCCTTGACTAACAAGTGACATGCCTGATTAGATGATTCAGGTGCTCTAATCTATGTTGTAACTTGTAAGACCCGCACCGGATCGGTCGGTCCGACCCAGAAACCGGTCACCCGGCCATCTGTCCGGTCCGGTTGAGCATTGAACCGCAAATGAGCCAAAAACCGGATTTAACCAATAACCCGTTGAGACCCGATACGGACCCAGCACAGCCCAAACTCGGAAAATGGCCCAAAGCCGGAAAAATCCGTTCATCAGAGGAGTCGAATCTGTAATACCACTTGCTTAGCTATTATTATAACTTTCGAATCTGTAATATTTTAATTGCTTTAATTAATTAGTTTGTTAATTAATTAATTTATAATAAAAACTATAATATATACAAACCAATGTTATTTATATACTTCCTCAAGCCTCATTACGTAAGTCATCCTTATTTTTTATTTTTTAGTTTGTAATTGGAATTATGCTCACATTTATCATCAATTCATACACAAGTGCATTTTAAATTTTGTTAAACTCAATATACACTTCTGTTTTTGACAGAAACTCAATATATACCTTAAACAATATATTTTTGACATTACTTATATTTTATTATCAATTTTAAATTACAAAGGGATATAAGTTCATATTTATGAATTTATTTTTATATATAATTATATATATTCATGTTGACCAGGTTTACCGGTTGTTGACCGGGTTGACCCTCCGGGTCCGGGCTGACCCGTGACCCAGTAATTTTTCCGGGTCACTCACCGGTCCGGTTTTTACAACATAGGCTGTAATTCGAAATTTTTAACGTGGAATTTAATTGTGTAAAGGGGTTTGAACTCCTATTATGCCATTTATTTATTTATGCAAGTCCATCGTTATAGTTTAGAAAGAATGACGGGGATAGAACTGCTACAGTTCTCAAAGACATAAATATGGCTAATGTGTCTTTGGACAGAAATAGGACTTAAAGTAAAGAGACAAGGGGGTGTTTGGATCTGATTCTCAAAACTGATTCTGCTCCTTCAGGGAGCAGAATCAGAAGATGGAGTGTTTGGGTGAAATTCCAGAAGCGCTTCTGGAGCTCTAATTTACTCTCAGAATCAGTTTTTTTAGAAGCTGGGGGGTACCAGCTTCTGAAAACTGATTCTGCTTCTGTTTTTAAAAAAGAAACAGAAGCAGAATCAGTTCCAAACACCCCAAAATTACCCCCACACAACCCTACGGCCCATCTCTGCAACCATTCCTTTCTTCATACGATCTATGCTTCCATCTATTCCTTCTCCGATTCCGATTCATAGAAGAAATTGTCTCCTGTTTCGCAGTCGCATGTAACTTCGTCGTCACCAGCAGCTCCACCATCACATGTCGTCTCCGATTCCATATACAAGCTCAAATCCTTCGCTCGATGCTCAGATCTATTGACCGACGTCGTCTAATTGTTCTTTCCTGGCTTCGTTGTGCTTGAGATTATCATTCCCATTTCTATGTCCATTTGGCCAGCGTCTTAGGTTCCTGGTTGCTCGATTTTCTGATCGGGAAACTTCAGCGATAGTGACAGTAGTATTGTGGGGGTGGGGTAATGTGACGATTCGTTCCGCTGCTCTGCGTTGCCGTTGCAAGTGTGCGGTGATGAGGCAGTGGTTGGGGAGGGAAAGGGACTAGGAATGGGGCTGGGGGAGTCTAGTTGCCAGAGAGGGGCGAATTGGTCGGTCACTGGGTGTCACCGGCGGGTAATGACCAGAGGTGGCTGCTCACGGTGGCGGCGGTTGTTGGCCAATGGTGGTGGCAAGAGGTGGTGGCCGCCGACGGGGCTAGTGACATGCAGTGGTGGCCTCGGGCCAGGGTGGTGGCTAAAGATGGTTAGTATCCAACCGGCCGCCCGGGTATGTGTAATTGGTTGGCCCGATAATTGTGTCAGGTAGCAGATAACTGTAACTGGTCAATCAGGTAATTGTAATTTGCGGCGGGTAACTGTAATTGGTCGGACAGGTAACTTTAACTGATTATACATATAAATGTAACGGGCGATGTGTAACTCTAATTGGTCAATCAGGTAATTGTAACTTGCGGCCAGTAACTGTAACTAGTTACTGATAGTTATTTGATATATGACAATCTTAGTGGTCATCTAAAGGCAAATCTTGCGCGATTAAATAAAATGCCCAATGATTTTTTCAACAAAAATATGTGTATTATATGTTGATTTGATTCGATTACTTTTAGTATTTGATATGTTTACATTTGTGTCAACTTAAAAATAAAGTATTTAATATGCCTTCATCATGAAAAACGATCCAAAAATTAAATAATAAATGCAAATTTACACAAGGGCTAAACCCTATTTTCCAGTTCCATAAGAAAAAGTATCACCAACATAGTTAGAAATATCGATCAATACGAATCCTAATAGTGATGGTTCACATTCAATTTAAGATGAGACCTTCACATGATGATGTATGAGATATGAAATGAAAGGTATTATATAATCTAACAGTAGCAAAATGACATTTTTTGTCAAGTACGTAACTTTTGATTTGACGCGTTTAATTGTGCAAGAATCAAAATAAGTAAGGTTATTTTTATTTTTGTAACTGAAGTTCTCGTAGAGAACTATCCTGGGTTTTTTTCATATTTTTTTTTCATTTTTTAATGAATCTATTAATAAATAAAATCTAAATATAATTTCTTCAAAATCTAAATCAATTTTTATATTTTTTAGCAGACTCATTGAACGATTGCAATCAGTGTTTCATAATTTTTGTAGATTCAACTAATAATTCCAGTGTTATCGTACACGTTCTAAATTTATCAAAAAAGTAGTGTTGGCCGCCCTACTATTTTTATTTCTTGCATAACAAAGAACGAAAAAACGATATAGATTTTACAAAATCCAAATAGCTTTTTACAAAGTAGTGTAGTACTACGCACTACGCATTTGTTAAGCCAAAAAATGAATGGAAAGATCGTTTCTCCAGTATTAGTATGTTTTATGCAAAATTAAGGAAAAAAAGAAGGGTGCTTAATTACGCACTCATGCATTTCAAGGCTCGTAGTGAAAGACTTTGAAGCTCGTAGCTACGTTAATTAACGGAACGGAGGATTTCCGGTATTAAAGATATTGGACAATTAAGGCACTTAGGCACAATAGTTTCAACTCAATGTACAAGCATACATTAGCTTATAATTATACTAACACATTTTATATACCCAAAGTACCCTAACCCTCATTGACTATTATAACTTTTTAAAGATTAAGTATATAATAATAATTAATATTAATATGGAGTATGTGAGATGGAGTTTATGGCCTAGTTAAACATGCATTGACCACGTGGACATAAGCACCCTCCATAGTTTATCTAGGTCAGCTATCTTCAGTACGTGGTTTGCAATTGTACGTAGACCATTTTATGTTCACTCATTTTGAGTCATTATAATTGATTGCGTTTTGGAAAATATTATTCCACGTACGTAAGCGGGAGATTTTTTAATCATGTTGGTCAAACCAACCAGCAGAGAAACTTTTGACTGAGTTTCACGATGTTTAGATGGATAGCTCGTTGCTAGCAACTACTGAGGACTAGTTTGGGACGAGAGATTAGGATGAGTGTCATCAAAATTCAACTTAATTACACTTTTTTAAATAATTGTTCATTCGATTTTGGATAATCCTCAGAAATAGATCTAGTGTCATCATTTTGTTATGAGTTGTTTTATGGAATCATATGTGACTCTCTTATGAAGTAACATGACATTGATCATCTCCATAGTGGTGGGGATGATGCCACTTTACCCCATATATAATGACTCTAAAGAAAAGTTACATGTTAATTGTTCCGTAAAATTATACTATATTATATTGACTAATGAGGGTATTGAGTATTTGATTATCGTACATATATCATATTCTCTCATTTCCATAAAATTCTTCTAATTTAACTTCAATTCGAGTTTATGAAAGTGAGAATAAAATGAAAATTTACGATTATAATTGAGTAAAAAAATGTATTAAATATTAGTCACACAAAATTTTCCGAAAAAAGAAATGAGAATAAATTTTTGAGACATTCTAAAATAGTAAGTGAGATGAGAAGAAATATATAAATAAGGATATGCATGCATACTTCTTCCATGCCGTTGTGCACACAATTCATGCAAGCACACTATAGCCAATTCGTAGTTGGCAATATATAAATTTGGGTCAAAGCTTTAATTAATAATAAATTAAAGAACTTCATTCATTAAATTAGCATGCAGCTAGCTAAGCTTAATTTAAAATAAAGCCTTGGGGATAATGTCGGGTCAAACTGGTAAGAAATGATATGATCTGATCTTCATAATTAGCACTACAGCAGCCAGCCCACGGGCGGATATATATATATATATATATATATATATATATATATATATATATATATATATATATATATATATATATATATATATATATAT